AAGGGCATGGTCTTGGGCAGAATGGGCAGGCAACCTTAGGGCAGGGATACGGCACAGGAGCCGGGGACTTCCCGGAGTCGTGCGGTTCTGCCAGGCGAGCCCCACGCTCCCGCAGCAGCCTGGGCCCAGAGAGCGTGTCCTTGCCCAGGTGGGCATCATGGGCGAAAGTGGCCAGGCGAGGACATTGCCAAGGGCCAGGCTGGCCGGGGACACTGGGGCTGGCCCTCCCCGCACTGGCTCCGTCCGTCAGAGCCTGGCCCGCCTGTGGCTGCTCCACTCCCATCCAGCTCCGCCAGCGGCCTGCGGGGCTCAGGCGGCAAACGCTGGGCAGGACACCCCGCCATAGCCCGTTCCTGCCCACCTTCCCCTCCTTGGCCTAAGAAAGAAGCTACTAGAGCTTTGTTGTTGGCACTTGCGGCAGGGCGGGCTCGACTCAGCGCTGACTTGATGACCTTCTCGGAAAGCAATGACTTTCCTGACCTGCTCACCCACGGTGGGGTCTGCAAGGAGGGGTCTTCTCTGCAGACCTGGAAGGTTCTGCGGTGTTCTGAGTCCTGTCACTTGAGCTCGGGTGGCCTGGGGCCGGGGGAGACTCCACAGAGGACAGAGCGGGTGGGAGCTGGTGGTGAGAGCCAGCCTTGGCAGCCAGGCCAGGTGCCTGTCCCAGCCCCATGAGCGAGGGATTCAATTTCTTTGTGCTTCAGTTTCCTCTTCTGTAAAATGGGGATAATTACTGTACCTATCTTGTGGGGCAACTGGCAGGGATTTCGCCCTGGAGAATTACTGGGCTTCAGCTCTAGGGGCAGTAGGGTGGGCTGTCTCAGGTTGGGGTCAGGCCCTGGGAGTCGAGGGATTGGGGAGTCATTTCTACCCCAGTTTGCATTTTCAGAGAAAAGGACAGAGGGTGGCCCACTGGCATCTCTGCCTGAGCCCAGTGGCTGGAGCCCAGGGCCTCTCCACAGGACCCAGTCGACCCTGAGGGTCCCCAGGCAAGGAGGCAGCCATGTTGGCTCAGAGGTTTAGTGAGGTCGGACCCCTGACTGAGCAAGAACTTGGTGGAGTTTGTCTGGTGTCCTTTCTTCCAGACCGGAGCCTCCTAGTCTGTCAGGCCTTGTCAGTGAGGTTAACCCTACTCCTAGCACCCTCCCCGCCCCTCCCCTGCCGCTCCCGCCTGGCCCACCTGCCCTAGGAGGAGCAATGGAGAGATGGAAGCAGAAACCCACGGGCCCCCCAAGCTGCTTGCCACCTTCCCATGTGCTGTTTGAGGAGGCCGAGCAGCGCGAGGGAATCATGCTGGAAGGACGGGACATGTTCCCCTCAGCAGACGGGTTGGTGGCCTCCTACCGTGGCAGCCCCTGGGCAAGTGGCCAGACCTCAGAGAGCTGGGACCGAGGCCGCAGGGCCACCACCTCTCCGAGCCTGGGCAGGGCTGCAGGACCTTGCCTTGCCAGCGACGACTGCAGCCTCCAGATGAGGGCTCCTCCCGCATCCTCCAGGTCCCTGCGTGAGTGCTCCACCAGCGCTGGACACAGCCTCAGAGTCAGACCTGAGTTGAGTTAAAGAAACCCAAGAAATACATTTCTCGTGCAGCAGCATTTGTGGAGATTTGTTCCTGCTACCGAGTGCTGCACTGTCTCTGGCACTTGGGGGCTATGAGCCCAGTTCATGGCAGTCACAGAACACGACAGGTGGCACTGCCCAGTTTTGCCCTGGCAGTTTCCAGGGCTAGAGGAGGTAAGCTTAGAGGAGGACACAAAGATGCCCTGAGCAACAGCAGGTGCTCCGTGAAAGTTGGCTGTCATTCTTTGTACTTTAGGCCACTTTTTTCAGAGAGCATGGTGCCACTTGTTTTTCATAGTTTCATGATCAATTTAGTGCTGTGCATGGCATTTGTGCAAACTCAATTTTTCTATATCCCCTCTAGTTCCTGCTGCCCACTGTAGCAGTGTATAGGACTTAAACCAACCAGCCAGCCAGCCAGCCAACCAGCCAGCCAGCCAACCAGCCAGCCAACCAGCCAACCAGCCAGCCAGCCAGCCAGCCAGCCAGCCAACCAACCAACCAACCAACCAACCAACCAACCATCCAGCCAGCCAGCCAACCAGCCAGCCAATCAACCAACCACCCAACAAACCAGCCAACCAACCAACCATCCAGCCAGTAAACCACCAAACCGCCAAGTAGAAATGCCCCGTGGGAGCCCGTCTCTGTGATCTTTTCAGAGAGGCCTTTGCCAACTTCATCTCCCAAAGCAACTGTCCTTCCCTTTCCCACTTCCCCAGCACCAGACAGACCAGCTCCATCTGCTCGATCTTAACCTTCCTCACCTCCTAAGCAGGAAGAGCTGGGGCAGGGGGGACCATCCTCTGGTCGGCTATGGCACCTGCAGGGTGACAGGAACTGCTTAGCGCCGTGGTTCTCAAAGCAGGGTCCCGGCCAGCCGTGAAGCAAAGGTATCACCTGAGAACTTGCTGGAAATGCATGTTCTTGCCCTGCCCCTGCCCCGCTGGTCAGAACCTCTGGGGTCTGGCCTAGCCCTGTGCGTTTCTGATGGACACTCAAGCAGAGTGGAGGAAGCAGGGACACTGCATCAAACAAGCCTGGCAAGGTCCCTGCTTACAGAGAGGCAGACAGGCCTGCAGAAGCAGCAGCCAGATAATTCCAGATGCTAATGAGGACCACGGAGAAAAGAAAACATTGTGAGGGGAACTGGACAGGCCTGTTTTGAGTGGAGAAGGGAGGTTTACTGAGCAGGTGGCATTTGAATTGAGACCCAAATTAAAGGAGGGAGTTGTGCAAACCCGCAGGGACGAGCCTGCAAGACAGATGAGAGAGACCCCAGGGGTGGAGGGACTTGGGGTTAGGCATCCTGCAGAAACTTGGCCTGCTGGGCCCTTCCTAACCTGCAGAAGGGGCTAAGAGGACCCGGGAGGAAGCTGGGGGATGGGCTCCAAGTGCAGACTTTCCCCAGCTGTGGGACCCAAGGCCATGAGAGCTATGGGCTGTGTGGCCAGAGCCATAGGCTGAGAACCACCTGGAGGACCCATCGGAAGACAGATCAGACGACACACATGTCCCTGCTTATGTGCTACTAGGGAGGTCAAGAGCCACTCTCTCCTTCCAGATCTCATGCTGAACACTTTCCTTCTAACTTCTTCACCAACCCAGCAGCCTCCATGAACTTTCCACTCACAGTGGTGTCTGGAAGACAACACGCCTTGCTCAGCAGAAAGAGCAAAGGGGCCAGTTCTCAAACCTCACCCTTCTACTTTTCTTTCCAAAGTGAGCCATTTGGGTCTGAAGTCAGATACACCCGGGCTATTAGAATCCCTGGATAAATGGCGATGTGTTTAGATGGCTCAAAGCATCTCTTAATTATTCACACATCTTACAGAAATTCATTTTTATTCCTTCAACAATTATAATCAAGGTGTAAGTTTCTTAATCCTGCAAACAATTGTTTCCTTGCAGCAGGGGCCACCTGTAAATGGCCCAGTGATTCTACCCAGCATATGAAATCTCTAACTGCCTGTGTGGTGTTATGTGACAGCATTGGCTATGGGCCAGGAAGCACCAGGCAGCCTTGGAGCCAAGAGCCTTTTCCTGCTCACAGAAAAGCAGCCGCCCACCCCAGGTGACAGGGCATGGTTGTGACTGTGCAGCTCTTGGAGAGACATTCTCGGCCAGCCATTCTTGGCCCTACGGCCCCAGGGCCTGAAGAAGAGACATCTGGGCTCTGAACAAGGCCAGGGCTTCATCTCTCTGTTCTGAGCTGTGATGACATTTCCCTTTGGGAAAAACTTTCTGTTTGAATGTACTGCGGCCTTTTAGCAAATCTGTCAAAAAGGGAGGCTTAGCTTTTTTCTTAGAGTAGTCTTGAGCGGTGAGTCTCATAAAATAAGTCCTCAGCCTGGAAGTTGGGTCCTGGAACCTGGCCTACGCTTAGAGTCCCAGGCACAGAAAATGCCTTGGTGCCTTCTCTGTAACTCAAAATGGAAACGACTCTAAATCACAGAAAAGTGTAAGGAGGCCCAACATGGTCCTGATTTTCCCAGGAAGACCACTTTGATTCTCTTTTTAAATTTGTAATTATCAAATGTTAAGTTCTTCCCTCGACCCCCCATATCCTCACCGCCTATATTCCTGCAATTTTTCTTGTGTGTGCCCATGTGTATGTTTGGTGTATGCGTGTGCATGTGGTGTGTGTATGAATAAGTGTGTGCATGTTTGGTGTGTGTGTGAGTGCATATGTTTCTGGTGCACATATGTGTGAGCATGTGCATGTGTATGCATGGTGGGTGCATGTGTAAGCATGTGTGACTGTTTAAGTGTGTGTTTGGTGCGTGTGTAAGTGTACATGTGTGTATAAGTGTGTGTGTTTCTGGTGCATGTGTGTGTAGGGGTGTGCATGTTTGTGTGTGTGTATAAGTGCATGCGTGTTTGCTGCATGTGTGAGCGTGTGCTTGTGCAAGCTGTGCTGCAGCCCAGAGCACACCCACAGCAGAGGAAGCCTCAGCTCTCCACCAAGCAGCAGCCTACAGTGTGTGCAAAGGCAACTTGATTTCATGGAACGAACATGGGCTTCAGAGTTGCATCTGGATCACAATCCCTCCTCCTCTGCAGCTTGTCAGCTGTGAGACCTCGGAAAAGTCATCCAACACTTCCGATTTCATATTCTTATCTATAAATCAAGGTGAGTGTTAAGTGAAATATCGTGTAAAGAAATGTTTTGAAAATTACTGGGGAAAAAGAAAAGGCATAGAGTTAAGTGCCACACAAATATAAGGAATTTACAGAATTAGTGGTGTCTACGAACACCATCCTAAGTTTATGAACAGCTTCCTAACAGTCTGAGAACACCTTCCTAAGTCAGTGAACACAATTCTGTGTATGTACAACAGTCTGTGAACACCGTCCTGACCGTCTGTGAACACAACCCTCTGTCTGGGAAAACCAAACCCCTGTGTATTTATAAACAGAGGCAGAGCTGTAGACTGAGCTGGCTGGATTTCAACAGACTGCTGGGACGCCTGCAGCCTGGGCTGTCATTCTGGATCAAGACACCAGTGAACAGCTTTTATTGAATTCGCCAGAGCTGCATTAATATGTTAGATCCATGTACACAGTTCCCAAGGAGCAGAGTTCTCGGGCCGCAGTGGCATGGAGGACACTAAGCCAGCTTGAGGCACTGTGTGTTAAAGCTGTCCCCCTCCTTGCTGGCAACGGCCTCGAGCAGGCACTGCTTCTTCTGCATGCTGCGCGAGGACTCCAGCTCGTACATGGTGGTCAGGTTGAAGAGCACACTCTCATGCAGGTACTGCCTGGGGTCCTGCTGGACCATAGCCTCCAGCTGCCGCAGGGAGTCCTTGAGTCTGCCCAGGTAAAGCAGGCACACCGCAGCATTGTTGTTGGCCTAGAGGAGAGGGGCACAGAGGCAGGGTTGGCACAGAGGGTGACCAAGTGGGAAAACCGTGGCCTCATTCTCAGTTGCGTCCTAGGTCCTGTGCTCTGGGGCGGTGCAGAGCTGCCGAGGCACAGCCACTGCCCCCAGTGAGTGCTGTAGCTGCCTGATGCAGAGGGCTGCAGCGGGGCCACGAGTGTGTACATTTCTAGCATCTGCGAGATGCAGGAGGCTGAGGATCCTACGGCTTCTGAGTACGTTTCTGTTGGGGCATCTTACCACTGCATTTGTTGGCTCCATCCTTAAAATCTCAGTGAAGAACTTGTGGGCTTCTGCAAAGTTATTCTGACCGAGGTGTAGGAACGCTCTGCAACATAGGGACATGAGAAGCGGTTAACTGAGGAGGGAGGGTCAAGGCGCTGGTGTGCAACAACAGAACGGACAGACAGGGACAGAGACGTTTGCTCTTCAGAGTGCAATGCCCAGTAGCCAGGCGTTTGTGCTCTGCAGACAGAGGTGGTGGCTGGAGCTGCCTGAACCCCATCATGCTTTCTGGCCAGCAAATTAACGCCAAGTGAGCTTTCAGTAATTTAGACAGAGCAGCTCCACCTAAACTTACTTCATGCTATAGACACTGCCACCTGCCGCATCTTCACTCTCTCATCTCGGGACTGTACTGGGCACAGGCTTCGTCTCAATGGACGCACTCACACAAGCTGCACGTTACATCACATGTCACTTTAACCATAAAGGCTGGTCAAAGAACACCAAACTCGCAGCTGCAGCGGCCGCTGTGCAGACAGTCAACACTCAAGCACATTCATGTAGGAAACGGGGGCAATGAAAGCAGTAATGGAAAACAAAGGAGAAAAATCTCCTTAAAAATCAGTGTTCACGACTGACTGAAAGAACATGACTGCAACTCAAGAAAACACCACGGTACTTCTTGGGTCCTACGGTTCTGAGCGACACAGGACAGGACGAGCATGAAGAGGGACGCTGACAGCAGAGGGCTTCGTCACTCAGGAAACACTGCCTAAACTAGTGGGGAACTGGAGAAAATATTTATTAGTTTTAAAGTATTTACCTGTTCATTAAAACCATTATTTTACCCTGTTGTCCCTTCAATTTCTGTGTTACTTTTTCAACGTCTTGAAAATACTTTTCAGCTGTCTTTATGTCTCCAATCTGCTTTGACAAAATTATTCAGTCAGTTTCGTTGACAAATTAAAAGAAATATTAAATATATACCCACATATACAGTCCCTAATATCACTTTGGAATATGAAGACAGTTACATGTCAGGCAGGGGAAGATTTCAGTAACCATTTAGTAATCACTACTTTTTGTAAACAGGCAAGAGATGTGTAAGATACACTGGAATGTCAACATTCTATATGTCAGAAGTTAAGCTGTTAATACACACACCTTATTTAAAAGTCTTACAGTTTAGTATCTTGTACCCTTTGAAATGAATTCTGCAATAGCTAATATTAAGTAAAGTATAAATTAAAAAAAAGTACTTAGGGTGGGCCTCTGGCTCACTTGGGAGAGCGTGGTGCTGACAACACCAAGTCAAGGGTTAAGATCCCCTTATTGGTCATCTTTAAAAAAAAAAAAAAGTTAAAATTTTGGTATAATATGGGCAGGTCCTGAGTCAATTTTACTGGTTATTTGTGGCTAGTAAAAGGGTAGGTATCTGGGGCCGGCCCGGTGGCGCACTGCTACAGTGCGCCGCTTGGGAAGCGCAGTAGCGCTCCCTCCGAGGGTTCGGATCCCACATACAGACCGGTTCCCGCTCACTGGCTGAGCGAGGGGCGGGAGCAACACCGAGGGTTGCGATCCCGTGGCCGGTCCCCGGTCCAGTGCGGGGGCGACACTGAGGGTTGCGATCCGTTGCCGGACACGAAAAAAGACAAAAAAGGAAAAAAAAAAAAAAGGGTAGGTATCATCAAATTTGCAAATTTCAAAGTAATACTTTGACGAAATAATCCAGAATTCTACTGTAAAAGAAACAAAACAAAGCAACCAAAATGACTCTCATAGCACAGGTAAGGAAAACTGTCAGCTCCCCATATCAGGTAAAGCCGGACGCTCCAGGGCCAGCAGCTGCAGGAGGGGAGGGGATGGAGTGCTGAATGTCACAGCCCCGACTCCTGACCACCTGACATCTGCTGCTCGTCACCACTGCAAAGCCTGGTTTTTAAACGGGAGATTCTCTCAGGTTTTCTCTTGCCTTCAAAAGCATAAGGATGGAAATAAGTGATCTAAGTCTTATAATATGAAGCACATGAAAGATAAAGGACAATCTGTTACGGCAAAAACTTCGCACACAAGGGTGAAGTAAAAACCGGGGCTAGACAGGGAATATTGCTCTGGAGCATCACAGTAACAGCAAACCCTGCAAACAAACAACTCGCGTCGGAGCCGCTCACGCTCCAGACGGGAGGAGCACTGAGGCGACCGGGAGCTGAGCCCCATCAGCTGACTGTCACGCTTCTCACCACAAGTACCTGACAGTCACTACAACTAGTCCTGCTCGAAGCCTCAAGCGACTTGTGGGGAGGACCCTGAGGGCCTCTCATGCCTCTGCACGCCCTGCAAGCACAGGCGTTGATCGTCCCAAGCAGCCTTTCCAAGGACGTCTGTGCAGAGGACAACCTTGGAAGCTGGAATGCACCCATCTGGGCAAAGGGCAGGCATGCTCACTACCCAGTATTAAAGATTCAGGTTTTCTAAGTTCAGGACTACTCTCCAGTGAAGAAACCCACCACATGTTCCACCCCGGCCCTCTCGCAGCATCCTGACCAAACTGTGGCTCAGGGTTTGGTGAGAAAAAGGACACTCGGGCTATACTGCCGCTGCTGAGAGTCACACATATCCCTCATCTCTGACCCAGGGATCTCACATCGTTTGCCAGCATCCGTGAAAATGGCAGCTAACTTCATAGCTGGCAAGTGGGATAAAATCTCGAACCCTTCACAGTGTTGACACTACCCCACAAAAGAAAACACCACACTAGGAGGATGAAAACAAAATGATAAGAAATACACGAAGAACACACGCACGCACATAAAGAAAACAGGACGGCACTCATCAGTGCTTCCCCACCGCCACTCAGTTGGAAGCAGCCTGAAGTCTTCTCCTGCAGACTTCTCACTGACTAATTGACTAAAAAGAAACCAAAGTCAGTGTGGGCTCAGTGACATGGCCCGCAGCTTGAACGTCTGAATTCCCTGCAACGTGTTCACATGAACTAGAATCCTGTTTAACAGGACAGTGTTTAATAATAATCTGAAGATTCGTATAGATAATAATTAAGATCTATCAAGTCCTTGATGTGTGCCAGGTCCTGTGCTAAGTGCGCTGAACATAGCTCATCTAACTCTTACAACAAGGTGTAGATACTATGACCAGCTTCATTTTCTACATGGAAAAGATGAGGCACAGAAAGGTTAGATGATCTTCTCAGGTCACACAGCTAACACAGAACAGTCTGGGACCTGACTCAAAACTCAGGTCTGTTCCACTTCCAGACCATACGGCAACTCTCTGTTCTGTAAGGCCTCCGAGAGCTGACATGGGTATTTTACTGAAACAAATTTTTAATGGAAGACAACAGAGAAATCTCAGTATATTCTCTGCTACCCAGGTTTTCTTGGTGATTAGAAAGTAAGTTTGCATCTTCATAATTATTAAAACGTAATTAGGATTTAAAATCCTACCAATTAAGAGTTAGAACCATTAAAAAAATTAAAAATATAAAAAGGCAACTAAACGTGTAAGTATTGCAGAATACCTAGACAATAAATAAATAAAACCACTAGTTATTTAAGAAAACAACAAACTGAGCTGGCCGGTTAGCTCGGTTGGTTACAGCTTAGTGCTGATATGCACGATTTAAAGATAATTTTTGTCTCAATGTCAACTTTTTTCACTGAATAAAAATTTAACTGCGTCAAGAAAACACCTATTTGACTTCTCTCCCAAACCCCAGCAAACTATAAATAAACTTATCAAGAAAAAGAAAGCATAAAGGAACAGAATTAGAAATGTCAAATGAGAAATAACCGCAGGTACTGAGGAAATGGAAATAATTACAAAAGGAGTATTTTATGGAACTCTACGCAAATACATGTGAAAACAGGGACCAAACAGGTGGTTTTCTAGGAACTCTAAATTACCAAAATTGATCCCAGAAACTGTGAGAGAAAAAACTTCAGGCACACAGCACCGAGGCAGATTCACAACAATAACAAATTATGGAAAAGGCTCAGTGTCACCCTGAGGGCTCAGCATAGACATTTCTTAGGTGAATTATTCAAACCTTCAAGAAACACACAATTCCTAATTATTCAACATTTTCCAGAAAGCAGAGAAAGAAGGAAAGCTTCTAATTTATTTTTATTCAGACAGACACCATGTGCTTTAAAAGTCACGTTGCTTGTGCACACACACAAACCCAGAGACCAATTCTACTTATAACTATAAATGCACAAATCTAGGGAAATATGTCTCCCTGGAGCTCTGAGCTACTGGTTCTGTCCTTTGGAGCAACAAATCCTACGTGTATTTTTGTGGCAGAAACTCTGAACGTGTGCTCTGTCTGACTCCCCGCTTCCGGCTCTGGTTGGTGGGGCAGTGGGTCTGGCCAGGGCTGGGCTCAGCAACCCGGAGGACCCGGGTTCCAGGAGGTGCAGCCACAGGAGGGCGTGACCTGGAGCCAGGGGCTGTGCCTAACCTGTGCTCAGACACTGGGGTCTGTGGATGGCGGGTCTCGACTTGTCCATTCTTGCCACGTGACAGTGACAGCCCTCCTGATGGGCAGAGAGCTCACCTTCTCCATTCTCTCACCCGTTGCTCCTCTGCCATAGTTTCTGGATTCTTTACCACGTCAGTTGCACTGAAGCCATTATAGATTGTCAGTGACCATTTAAAAATATTCCCAAGGCTGAATGTTCAATATTTGCAGGTGTGAGCTGTTCAGTGAAGAGGATGGTGAGAATGACTCCCCTCTGTGGCACGGGCCTCAGACAGCACAGCTACTTTAACAGCCACATTAGATTGCTAGATTGTGTCAAATTTGTCGTCAGCTAAAAATCCCAGTTCTTTCCATATTTACTAATAAACTTTAGTCTCAGAAACATGGGTCTGAAATTGATATGGAAAGCTCATTTAGTCCAAATTTTTATATGTCTGTATGTGAAACATTTTCATATTTTTAAACTTATCAGGAAGACAGTTCCCAGTGGGCAAATCCCCTGGGATTAATGTGCTGTACAATAAAAAGGGAAGGATGAGATCTACTTCACAACCCCACTCTCTCTTTCCTCGTCCTCTCCTTTGGGCTGGCCTTCACCTCTCCCTTCCGTCTGCCCAGCGTCCTCATGGCTCTCCTAAGTTCCCTGGGCCTCCCTCCCCTGCTCCCTGTGCAGAACCTCAGCTCCAGTGGGAACGAGGCAGGCCATGCCGACATACGACGTACGTGAGACTGCATCCGTGCAGACGCCCCCCGCCTGACCTCCACACTCACCCCTCGTTCATGCTCCAGTCTTACATTCTGCTACTGAGTTGTGACGAAGACTCTCTCCTTGACCAAACTCTCATCAGCCTCCTCCGAGTCCTCCGCTAGACGCCCCCCGCCTGACCTCCACACTCACCCCTCGTTCATGCTCCAGTCTTACATTCTGCTATTGAGTTGTGACGAAGACTCTCTCCTTGACCAAACTCTCATCAGCCTCCTCCGAGTCCTCCGCCTGCCTGGGCCCGACCTTGGGCTTCCCTCTCTGTCCTTGCAGAATCCAGTTTGGTCAAGAATCCTGCTAAGTCAGTTTAGCAAAAACCCCCAGCTCTTGGTATTGAACCAGTCTGAATGGTCTGTTAAATTGAATTTAATTTATCTGTTAAGTTTGGCCTAAAGGTTTCTCTGGACATAGTGAACTGTAATAAGTTGATGTGTAAACAGACTGTCACTTACTCTTATAACACGTAGCCAAGTCTGAGCCAATCACAGTAGCCAACTGCTCAAAGCAGTTTCAAATAAGGTAAGCTCCCAGCTGTGACCATCCAGCTGTTTCTGTGCGTCACTTCCGTTTTCTGTCAATAAATCTCATCTGATCACATGGCAGCCCTGGAGTTGCTCTGAACCTGTTCTGGTTCTGGAGGCTGCCCGATTCATGAATTGCTTTTGGCTCAGTTAACTCTTTTTAATTTGTATAAAGCTTTTCTTTTAACAAGTCCTAACAAGTCAGTCTGGACAGAAACCCCTATCCTCAATGTTTCCTCTTAGTAATTTTCTATCTATTGACCCACAAACCTGCTCCTGACCCCAAACAAATCCCCACTTGTCCTGTTGGAGTCAGAGTTGAGTCCAATCTCTCTGCCCCACTGCGGGACCCTGTTGCAGCGGTCCCTCAAGCGAAGTCTTCCTCACATCTTTCACAGGGGCTTGGGTAATTTTTTCTTTAACAGTTGTAAAAGTTCTTTATATATTATGGATATAAGTCCCTTCTCAGATAATAGGATTTGCAGATATTTCTCCCATTCTGTAGGTTGTCTTTTCACTTTCTTCATGGTGTACTTTGAAGCACAAAAGTTTTTAATTTTGGTGAAGTCCAACTTACCTATTTTTTTCTCTTTTGCTCTCCTACTTTTGGTGTCAAATCCAAGATCACCAGGACTGACCACTCTTTCCCGACCACAGCCTGCACACTCCACCCACACCGGCTGACTGTGCTGTTTCCAACGACACCCTGGGGCAGACACTGCTCTGCAGACTCTTCCAGTAAGTCGTGGGTCCTGTGAAGGGAGTCCTGGGTCCTTATGTGCTGTGTGTTCTGAAGCACTGGGGGCTTCTCCTGGCTGTCTTACTCCCTGGCTCTCCATTCAGCTGGGTCTTGGGTCTGCACCCAGGTGCCTTTAGACACAGTTGCTCTGCCCTTGACTTTCTCCATGTTCTGCTGCAGATGAAGTCAATTCCTTGGGGAAGGGACCAGGAGCCACTGTTTTAAGGCCTGTTTCTTTCTTCCCTTAGGCATCTCTGAGCCTGAGCCCTGCAGCTGGGGTGGGAAAAGTCAAGTGTCTCCCTGAGTGACATCCCTGTGCTTGGGTGTGCTTGGTGGGGGTGGCGTGGGGCGGCTGCAGCTGAGGTCCTCCCCTGGAGGGAACCACTGCCTCCCCAGCAGGGTGGGTGATGGGCCCAGTCCTGTGTGCATGCTGTGCTGAGGTGCAGCCCCTGTCCCCCCAGTGGGGATTGGCTGGAGACCATCCTCTCTCTGCTCTCACCTGGGGCTCTGCCCTGGCAACAGGCAGCTGGGGCAGGATGAGAACCACTCATGTCTGGCTCCCTGGGGAGGACAGCCGGCACCTGTGCGCTACCCGGGCTGACGGCTGGAAGGGCCGCCCGGCTGTGCCGGGACGTGGGGCAGCAGCCATGGCTCAAACACTGCAGACCCTTTCTTACCGAAGTTTTGCAGACATCCTTGAACACTCGTTTCTTCATTTGCATTTGTCAGTTGTCAGGGTTCCCTGGGGAGGGTCGGGCAGAGCTCCTCAGGCTGCCATGCCAGAAGCCAATCTCCTCTTTTTCTTTCTGAAAAGCTTCAGTGAGGTGCAGCTGATGACAACAGACTGCAAGCATCTAAAGTGCATGCAGTCTGATGGGTTTTGGCACACGTTCACATTCCCATTTCTACAGGCCCCGCCCTTCTACCTGCCCTGCCATCTCCAGCACTTGCCACACTCTTGTCTGTATTTGCAACTTCTCCCTCTCCACCTGCACTGTCCCCATGAAAATGTGCTCGGGTGTCTTCCACATAAACCCCCTCCCCGGCCCCTTGTCTCTTTCCCCTCAGTGTTCCCACTGTCCCCTCTTCTCCACCCACCTGCCCCCTCAGCGCTCTGCCTGGCCCCTGCCTGGCTCTCCACTGGAACAGCTGTAGGAGGCAGCCTTGGTCCTCATGAGGTCCCTTCCAGCTCTAGTTAGGTGGCCGTGCACCTTGTTCTTCTGTCCTTCTGCTTCCAAGTCTGGTTTTGTCCTGCTGTGGCCAAAGCTTCTCATGCCTGGCCCTCTTCCTTCCAGGATGCCAGGGACCTGGGGCTGGAGCAGGGCGAGCTGGCTGTGAACATAGCAGGCCCACCCTGCTCACAGCTCCAGTCTGCATGCAGCCACTGGGCTCTCATGTCAGCATCCAAGACTAGTTTCTTGGTGTAAGTGATGACCCTCTAAGACCCAAGTAAAAAGATTTTGAGGGTGTCAGTCTAAGTCAGAGTGAAGTAACTAAAAAGTTGGAATAAAATGCTTCTTTTGTTTGAAGATCTGTTTACTTCAGCCCTTCCTTAGTTTAGAGTGTGTGAGAAACCCCCTGGAATACCAATGTCTCCAATGTCGTGTAACACGAGGATTTCCTTTCAGAAAATGGTCAGTGGTGCCTTTGGTATCTGCTGACATAGCTTCGATGGTCTAGCAATTGTTGGTATGATAAATGAGTCTCCTGTTTTCAGCTCACATGTTTAGAAATACCTTCAAAATGAATTTGAAGTGAAATCTGAAGGAACGGAGCAGTGCAGGGATGATATTCTGAACTCAGCTGCGCGACGTTATCAGAAACTCGGTGTCCACCCGCTTCAACGTCAGCCCCACTTGGCTCGGCTGTCTCTAGCGTAGTCATGGCTTCATCATATCATACTTTTCCATAGGCTTCTGCACGTTTTGTTTCAGTAAAATCATTTCTTCTATTTCCATTCTTTAGAAGTAAAATGGAAAGCGTCGTATCTTTCTTTGACTGGTGTTTAAGCTCAGTGCTCTTGTTTGAATTTTCCCAGTGTTGGAGGGAAAACTGGCGCTATTCACAACAGGAGCCTGTGAGGATGGATGTGTCTCTCCCACCCTCCTGCACATGCTCACAGAGAGAGGACGAAGCACAGGAGGACATGTTCCACTCACTCTTTTGCCAGACAGAAGATAACCGAACACTTAAGTGTTTTAGTCCTGCCCTGCTCTGCACTGTTGACTTGAGATCTGATTTAACGTCAGCACGGGCAGAGGCAGATGGGTCTGTTCATTCGTCAGCAGGGCTGCAGCTGCATGGTGCACAGAGGACACTGGTCTGGTGGATGTGTGGCTGCTCAGCATGTGTCCGTCTTCTATGTTCACTGGGTAAGTCCTGAGCAGATGTAGCACCGCCTGCCGCCTCCCTTGGCCAGAGGATGGCCTTGCTGATAGCCCCTTATATTGTACTCACCGAGCTCCCTAACGAGACAGTGAAGCAATGCTTTCGAGGCCGAGTGTCCTTGATAGGACTCCAGCCTGACTTATGTTCACTGGGTAAGTCCTGAGCAGATGTAGCACCGCCTGCCGCCTCCCTTGGCCAGAGGATGGCCTTGCTGATAGCCCCTTACATTGTACTCACCGAGCTCCTTAACGAGACAGTGAAGCAATGCTTTCGAGGCCGAGTGTCCTTGATAGGACTCCAGCCTGACTATGCATCCTCAGGGTGCTCAAGCCAGGGACTCCTCTGGAAGAAGGGATGCTTTCAGATGCAAAAGACGGCACAGCTTGGAATTCCTACACCCATTTCCAGCATCCACTTCTCAACCTGTGCAAACAGACTCCACACTGAAGCTTCTGAGTTGTCTCAAGGGCAGCAAGGAGCCAGAGCAGCTGCATGGTGTTCCTTTGATATGGCAATCAGGGTAATGATGCTACACCCTGGGCACCTCAAACCCCTGCCCGGTGCTGTGCTGCTCACATGGATTGCAAGGAGACTCCCACCAGCAGCCCTGCATCTAGATGAGGAGAAGATGTGCAGGCCAGCTCGCCCAGGTCATACAGTGGATTGGATGCATGCCCAGGTGGGCTGGCCTCTCAGCGCACATGTGCACACTCAGCTCCTGGGTCACATTATGCAGCAAAGCGTCCTGCAATGCACCACGCCAGGAGCCCCGTGTACTGGGAAGGACTCAGACGAAGCCACACTGGTCGGGTTTTCCTTCTCTGACCCCACTGTGTGTCCATGTCAGTGTCCATGAGCAGATGGGGTGGAGGAGGAGGTGGGGCATGTGCGTGTGTGTGCACATGTGTGCCCCTGTGGGGGTAGAGGACTTGGGCTCTGTGCTCATAGAGGACTCATTCAAATTCCCCCTGCACTGTCATATATGTGGCCTCCTGTAGCCAGGACCCTGGGCAGGTCACATAACCACCTGGAAACCTCAGTTTGCTGATGTGTAAGTTGGACTAGTAACACCTGCCAGGTTGAACTGAACAGCTCAGCCCAGCACCCAACTCATGGCAAGTGTTGTATGGCAGCTCTTTTTCCTCCCACCATTAACGTCCTTTGCTCACTCCTTTTCCCTGACCCAGGCTTGGGATGTCACATCAGAAACCCTTAGAAGACTTGGGGTGAGAGAGGGGACAGGGCCACCTATGCTTAGGCTGCAAGGGGGGGGGCCACTGTCCTGGGACTGACAGAAATGAGAACGGGACTCACCACTACCAAGACCTTCCTGTCAGTAAATATTCCAGGATGATGCACTCTAGCTTCAATGACATTCTTGACAGAGGGAACAGTCCCAGCTTTCTGCATTACTGAGACCACTGCTTTGGTTTGGACTTCCCTTGGTGCAGTATGCACGATTCAAGTGTTCTTTCCAGCAAAATATCAGAGTTACTGTATCATCAGCTAAGCTGAAGTAAGACTTTTTTTTTTTTGCGGTTGGCCAGTAAGGGGATCCGAACCCTTGACCTTGCTGTCGCAGCACCATGCTCTCCCAAGTGAGCTAATCGCCCAGTCCTGAAGTCAGATTCTTTATGGTTTGGTCAATACTTTTCTTCCCTTCTTCCAACGGAATCCCTGGCTTGAGTACCCTGAGGATGCTCAACAGGACAGTTCCTAAGTAATCCACTTCAGTGCATCCCTGATGAAAATTTATGCAAGTACATATTTAGCAACTGGCACAAAGCAGCCAGCTGGACTCAGTAGAGTCAAACGCGAACTGTTGTAAAGAACTAAACCTTTTTGTGGTCATACAAATTTAAGTTGAAATATTTTCTAAGCTATCTCTTATACTTGCAAAATTAAAACTAAATAATAGCCCACCCGAGCACTGCATTCCCAAGAATGAGGTCCATGTGTTAGCACAGGGCTGTCACTCTAGTGCAGGGCCTGTGGGGCAGCGGTACCTGCAGGAAGAGGCGGCCGATGCCGCTCAGCAGCTGAGGCTCCTGCTCCGGGTAGTACTTGGTAACGGAATGGTATGCATCCACAGCAAGCACGTAGTCCTGTGGGGAGAAAGCCCAGAAGTGCCTTTGAGGGCTAAGCCATTCTTGGCTCCGCACGCTTAGAGCAGCACAAGCCTGTGTAGCCGCGCGAGCAGGCGTGAGAGCAAGAGTCTGGCGGAGACCCCCGGCCTGAGGGGCGGCCAGCTGCCAACCCAGGACCCTGAGTTCTGTGTGCGACCAGAGTCAGCGACTCCCCTCCTGTCACCCAGGGGCTCTTGGGGCCTTCTGGTCATCTAGTTAGGCCTGAGGGTCTGCTTCCTGCTTCCATCTTCTACACAGCAATTCAGTTTCACTTGGACTGTCTCTTTCTTGACAAGGTCATGAAGTGACTTGGTGAATCTTGTCTTATCTCCATCCTCCAAATAAGTAAGCCGAATTTTTCAAGTGTTTCTTAGTTAAACACTTTCTATGCTAGAAATTGATGTGAATCGTTAAATGTAAATAAACAACCCACAAAACAGCATCACCAAGAGAGTGAGCATAAGATTCCAGGACATACTGACACAGTAAGAAGTTTGAATGTCGTCTGTTCTCTACAGTGTACGGGAAACTCCTACCATTTTATAGAATTTTACAGGAACTTCTGGGGAGGCTTTGCCGGCTACTGTGTCTGGCACCTGCACTCTGCAGAGCGCCTCCTCGCTGCCCTGCTGCGACCTGGCCTGTGGCCCCTCCCTGAACGTGTCTGCCTGCTCTGCTTGCACCGGCCCATCGTGGGCGCTTGCTGATACTGGGCGGATGGATGGAAGCCTCTTGATCCACAGTCAAGAAAGGCAGAGCCAGTGTCTGGCTACTGCGGTGGCTAAGGCTAATGCCTGGAATCCTGTCAACAGTGCCAATTGTAGCGCTCTTAATCCTGTTTGTGACGCCAATTGTAAAGCTAGGTGACCACGCCAGTTGTCAGGCTCTTTTACCTGCCAGTAATCCTGCACTGACTGGGCTGATTGTTGAGCTAGGGCTGGGTCTGGAGCTCACAGACCCCTTAAGCCCATTCACAGACTGGGTCACAAACCCTTCATATGCCAGGCTGGGTCACCAGACCCCTTCACGCAGGTCTATGAGTTAGGTAACCGGCCAAAAGGTCCTTGGAGTCATAGATTGGAAAGCATGGCTGTGCCGGGTAGATGCCCGAGGCCAACACCCACCTGACTGCTTCACTAAACTCTCTCTCTCTCTGAAGAACACAAGAATAGCAACAAAACTAAAAGGATACATTGGCCCGCATGCACAGTAACTACACACACACACACACACACACACACACACACACACACACACACAATTTGCTTACAAAGGATGCGCTGAACCACACCCGATGGGACCTGAGGCGAGGGCCCTGACCAAACTATTCTATTTTCTCAACAGCCAGTCTCTTTCCAGGTGTGAGAAAGGATGTCTCAGAGGGAAGGGGTCTTGCCACTCACTGGGGACACAGTGGCCAGCTTGTCTTGGATACTAACAAACCTGGTGTTCTCTCCAGGATGACAGTGGTCATCACATTTTCTGAGCAAGCTCTGCGTGGCAGGCACTGTGCCAAATACTTTACTGTATTATCTAGTTATAGCGCACAGTGGGCACTAAATGGGGCCACCAGCGGTGTCTTCTCCTAACTTATTCATCATAAAATCCCAGAAGGTACTTCTATTTCTTTATTCTTCTACATTTTCAATTTCTTGAAAACTGGGACTGGAGCTGCTAGTTTGCTAATTGGAGTGTTATAAAGAGAGACAGATGACAAGTAAATTTCCAGTTTGGTAGAAAAAAATGAAAAGACTCTCTCCAGTCTAGTACCTTCAAGTGCAGCTAATTAAAACTAATTTTATTCAAGGCCTGACGCTCACAAGGATCCAGAAGGCACGTGCCTTGGCTTCCTTTCTCATGGCTCCTGCTGCCCGTCACTGCAGACCATGGCGGGCATCCTGCTCCTTGCTATGCGAGTGTGTGTGGCGTGCGAATGTGTGCCCATGGTGAGAAGGCCTGTGATCGGCATCTGGATCCCGGGGAAGCTGGGGTCACAGCTGAGGATGGACGTTCATCCCTGCTGCAGCTTCGGGCCACCCTCGCCCCAGATCCTGCTTGGGAAGCTCAGGGGAGCTGTCCTGCCTCCACACAGGGGTGGCATGCCACCGGCACGCTCTCTCCACTTCTCTGGGGAGGGCTGTGGGCCCTTGGAGCATCTGTCATGCTGGGGATCAGCATGATCCCATGCATGCTCTAAGCGAGCATGTGCCCCTTGCTTTTGGTTTCAAGTAAACATAAGGCAGACTTTGACCTTCCTGCTGACAGCCCTGATGTGTCACTGGGTCATGCCCAGTGCCTGCACCCAAGTCTCCACCTGTGCTTCACTAGCGCTAATGCCTTCTCGGCTCACACACCACTGCAGAGAGAGCCTGGCGGGAGCGTGGAGGAAGTGGCACCCATCACCCCTGGCTGCAATGCCGCGGACAGCAGACAGTGAGCCCCGCGGGGACGGCGTCCTGGCCTACGTCACTGCTTTAACCACTTGCTGTTTCAGTGCTTGGGTCGGGTTTCTGAAGACCATCTGACACAATGAAGGACAGGTTTTGAAAAAACAGTGATCTTTGATGGGAAAAGTTATTGTACTGTTGGTCTATGAAAACACTTTCTCCCAGGAGAATACTTTTGCGTATATGCACAAGCTTGGGAATCCCATGAGAAAGCTGGGTTCTGAGACAGAGGGTCAGACAGCAGAGAAGGGGCCAGAGACAGAAGGGAGTGCTAGACCCTCAGGCTTGGACAGGATGTCTGCCCAGGAGCCTGCTGCAGCCAGAACAAAGGAATTCTGGCATTATTTCAAGGAGCCTATGATCAAATAGGCCAGATGAGGATTTAGAATTGTGTTAGAGAGCTTCCTTAAGTTTATTATTATTTAATTGAATTGCTTATTTACTGAAGGTGGAGGAAACAGAGCCTTTTTAGGAAAAATGACTAAAAGGAGCTCTTCAGAGAGAGCTTAACCTACTCTGCAGATCTCACAGGTTTGGCTTTGAGAAAGGATACGAATGACTTGCTCACAGGGTCAAACCCATCTTAGCTTGCTCTTCACCATTTTTCTTCCAGCAACCACACTTGTCTAGTGCCAACTAGTTTTACAATCGTTCTGCAACCAGAGAGGATGTGCAGTGCAATGCACGTCTGCAACCAGAGAGGATGCGCAGTGCAACGCGCGTGAGGAGGAAGGCAAGTGATGCAGCGCGTGAGGAGGAAGGCAAGTGATGCAGCTCCACGCTCCTTTCAGTGGTGAGAAGCCACGACAGGTGGCAACGTGCACAGTGGGTGACTGGGGACACCCGGAGCAGCAGGCACGGGCACCTGCATGGTTCAACAGTGCAGGCACCTTAAGGCTCCTGTGAGGACCGAGGGGAGGAAGCAACATTTCCAAAGTGAGAATGGAGAAATTTCCAAGGCTGTGAAACACACGCAAGTGCACCTTCTGGTGTGTTTATGCAGGTATTTGGGGCCGAAGCACATGAATTGATTTCCTATCATTAAAAGTTAAATTAACATTTATTTCACTATAATCGAAGTGTTATTTTAAATAGTTAAATGGCTGATTAAATAACTCATTGTTAGCTCAAACACATAATTTAATGAGCATGAGACCCCATCTACCAAGACCACACACTGTTGCAATACTGGGTATGCTCACTAGATGGCGACAGAATTCGTATGCTTGGATAGGCCTTAATTGCAAAATTTTTCATTCTTTTTTTACTCATTAAAATGAAAGATTAACCTTAACTTCCAAATTACATTACATTTATTCTAAAAGTATTTTTGAAACACAATAATATGTTCTGTACTGAGTCTCAACAAAATGGACAGAAGACTTGCATTTGGTGCCTGGTGGTGGTGTCACCAATACAGTACAACAAAGAAAGGCATTTTTATTCCATAATTTTCTATTAACGCATCTTAAAAATGCAAATAAAAACCATCAGTAGGACAGGCAACCTCCCTCCCTCAGGAGTTCCAGCCCATGATTAATGAAGTATCAGTCCTATAGATGTATGATTTGCTCTTCTTTGCATAAGAATGTTCTGGCAAGCTGGTGAACTTCTGGTAAAGCTGCCAGTGGCCTCAAGGGGTGGAGGCTTCGCCATGTATTGCTCAAGGTGCTGGGTGGAGATCTTGGGGTTGACCACAGGCAGCAATGGGGAGAAGGGCGTGCTTTGGAGGGTGGAGGGGACAGGAGCCTGGTGCTTTGGGGCTACTGGGTTACTGCCTTGGTGGTGGGAAGCCGCCCCTCTCCTGCTGCGTGGAGCGCGGGCCCATTCCTCACTCTTACTCAGAGGGGCAGGCCCTGGAGAAGCTGAGACAGGAAGAGGAGAAGGGAAGCAGGGGATGTGGACAAGGACGACAAGGAACAAAGTCCTGCACGGGCAACTGGCCCCGACAGGAACGTCCTACATGTTGCAGGGGAAAAGCTCGTTCTGAGAAAAAGCACGGAACTCCTTAAAACCATATTTTCCTTTCCCCACGTGTTGAGGGAGAGGAGAGAGCTGCGGGAGTGACCGAGCCAGGAGGATTTCAGAGCCCTCAGTTCCACCTCTCACTTTAAAGGAGGCCGAGGCTCATGGAGGTGAGACTGCGCTGGGTTTGGTGGGAACGGAGGCTGAAGATGATGCTCACACCCGCAGTGGCGCATGGAGGCAGGGTCCTGACTGAATGCCCCTGAGGACACGATCATCTTTAGGGGTGCTGAAGAGTCAATGTACAAAACACGGCTGCCGCGTCAGGCAGGGCTGAACAATGAGCTGTGGGAGCACATTTCTCCACTTGGCATACTGCCTGCTCTGCAGCGCTGCAAATCAAGCTCAGGAATGACCTTGGGCAGCTTGGAAACCTGGCGGGTGTGGGAGGAGTTATGATCTCTCTCTTGGAATAGCCCAGAAGGTGCGAACAGTGCGGCTCTGGGAGTCTGCTGCTAATTGATTCCTGCAGCAGCTGGCAGCTTGCCAACAGCTCAGCGCAGGACACACTGGTACCCGAGCGGGAGTGAGCCCGTCATGGGGTGCGCTTCAAACAAAGAGAAAAGCCAAAAACCACCACTGCACAGGCTGGGGAGGACTGCACAAAGAAAACAGATGACTGACAGCCCAGCTGGGGTCCTGGGTTTTGAAGCTACTTCTTCAGGGGGCTGAAAGCTCTGGGGTGGAGTCCTAAGCAGGTCTGTGGGGAAGCCTGTCTTCAGATGTCATAAGCATCAATCATAAAACCAAATCGAGACAAGGAAAAAACACCCTCCACTAACACCTCCTGGGTTTTGAAGCTACTTCTTCAGGGGGCTGAAAGCTCTGGGGTGGAGTCCTAAGCAGGTCTGTGGGGAAGCCTGTCTTCATATGTCATAAGCATCAATCATAAAACCAAATCGAGACAAGGAAAAAACACCCTCCACTAACACAGGGAGAACAAAGGACACCTTTCTGGGATAGAATTCAGAGAAAAGGAAGAGGGGGGAGATAAACAATATTTTAATTAAATCATTTACACCCATGTTTGAACAATTAAATTTGATAATATAAATTCTACATTCTGTTGAAATGCATTTCGGTTAAAATTAGTAAATTCAGTCCCAGAGTGTGTTACTGAAATCTCTGTTAGCAAACCAGATCTCGGCTGAATTCTCTGCTTAGGAAAACCCTCACGTTTCCTCGTCAGAATGTGCCAGTAGTTCCCCTGCAGTATTCCATGGACACCCTCTTCAGAACACACGGTGGCCCTGCAGCTCGGCCACTTACGTACCTTCATCAGGAGCAGACAGTTGGCTGTGGAGTACATCACCCGGCCCAGACGTGACCTCCACAGCTGCACAGAGGCTGCAAAACAAGAGCAGCTTGTGAGGGCGCACAGCGAATCCCAGGCCCTTCCAGCCATCAGGTATTGGTCCTGTGGATGCCCATCTAAAAGATCCCTCTTGTTACCACCGGGTTTCAGGCTAGAATGCTGACTGTGCTGCGATCTGCACTGGGAGGCAGCAAGTATGGCGTTTGGACCTGCCATAGTCGGCTCTAGGAAGAGAAAATCAGGACGATGACTGCCCAGCATAGCTCAGAAAAGGGACCAACTACTCCAACCAGGAGCCACATCTCCAAAGCAAGAAGGGAACAGCCCTTGCCTGCCTGCAGCTGTGCTGGGGAGGCCCATGCCTGGGTGGCTGGGGCCCTCACGGTGGACACGTGGGAGGCAGCTGCCCGGGGCACCCCCATGCAGGCCAGTGGAGAAGCCGGCTCACCCAAGCAGCGCTGCACCTGGGTGTCAGCTGGGCGGCTCTGCTCTGCTCTAGTTACCCGGGACCTCAGGCAAGTGAAGGACCTACTCAAGGCCTCAGTTCCTTAGTCTTTTCAATGGAAACAACTCTTCCTGTCCCATCTTGTTTGCAGGGCCTTGGGAACAAAACTGCTACCCGAAAGTGTGAGAACACTTTTCAGTTGTTAGGCCAGATGAGGACGGCCCAGACTCACAGCTGCTTCCTCGATACCTGTGTGGTGGGGCACACTGTTGGTATACGTTCCACTAGGGAATCACAAACTCCACTGCCGGCCGGCTTCCTGCATCATCTGCTGCCACAGGTAATGCCTGAACATGACCATGAGCCTGGCTGGTACCCTCACTGGCTCTCTCCTGCACATCCCTTACTTATCAGCTGTCTTTGCGCTGATTCAAAACCTTCAAGGCCCATCTCTTTTGGTGGTTTTCAAACTGGCTTTGTGGACTCATTGGGGTCTGGAAAGGTACCCAGGAGCTGCCTAGGGGTGAGGGGAGGGCTGGCCCAAGGCTCCTATGTGTTTACACACTGGGATAATCGGGAGTAAGATTTGAATTGAGGACTGAGCTGATTTTAACCCTTGTATTCTGCTGATAGCCAGGCTGCGGCCCAGAGCGGCCAGGGGACATGTCCATCTGACCCTGTCCAGTGTTCCTCGTTCCTGTGCACTGTCCACTCCTGCCAGGAGTCCATGCTCAAGACTCAGAAACACAGTCAGTGCCACAAGCAACACCATCCATGAGCGTGGAGAAGCAGGTGGGCAGGGCCACCACCTGGGGGGAAGGTTCAGTCCCTGCCGTGGCTCAGCACTGGAGAGCTGCACGCCCCGTGCACGTGTGCTGACATCTGCCTCCTTTGCTGCCAGCACCAAGGGTCAGTTTTGAGATAACAATCACCTAGGAATATATTTAGTCTTGGAGTGCTCAAACCGAAGTGCCAGAATTAAGAACTAATCTCTTTTAGCCTTTCAGCAATTATAAATACCTTAGCTGCCTGTATTTCCCCATACCATTATTTCTGTGAACAGAAGAAATTCTGAGCAATATCTTTTCTTAATGAATGTAAAACACGGACTGCCTCAACAAACTGTAGATTTATTTTGATTATCTTTGCAATTTCCTTTCCAGCTCCAAATCTTCCCCTATTCTCCTTACAAGCCTGTTCACCTGTTGTGACTTTTTGTTAGATTTCCAGGATCTGCTTTCTGGTACCTGAGATACCTATGTGCTCATTCACCGACACAGGAGCCCCAGTGGGGATGAAATGACCAGCTGCCAGAACTGCTGGACAGTGGCATGTCCACAAGTTAGTGGTGACTTCTCTCCTTCATACCTGTTAATTTACTTGGAATTAAATTACTGGGAAGACAGCATACATGTCTCTTTCCCTGTTCCCGGCTGGCAGTCATGAGGGGTTTCTCAAACAAGGAACACATCATTTAAAGCACAAACAGGCCCAGGTGATGGACTCTGGCAATGAGCACCTGTCTACTCCTGATCCAGGAGCATGTTCTGGGCCTCACTGGGTTTGCTGGCCTGGCTCTCCCACTGTGTCTTGTCCCCAGGTTCTCTCCTCTCCCACTTTTGGTACGAGTCCCCTCAGAGCTAGCTTCAAAATGAACCTGCCACTTGACAGCATGGACCCCTCCAGCTGGCAGTTCCCAAAAGCCCTCTATGCATCAGGCCTGCAGAGTCCCTGGCCTCGGGGCAGGACAGACACTATGGGAAGGACTAGACAACCAGCAACGAGATCTGTGGGGAGCTGCTGCCCTGCAGGAGTGAGTGAGGACATGGTGAGGGGCCTCTCCGTTTTGAAGCATGATTATAAGCTCACGCCTCAATAATGCACTCAACATACCTTGGCCTGGTCCCAGGCTCTGCGAGCCGGCTGCCTTCCTCTCCAGCTGCTCCTGTAACACCCTGATGAGCCTGCCCAGGCTGCAGGCCCCACCGGCTGGGCCCACCGCATCCTCCACATGCTCTCACAACTACCAGCTTGGTGTGGAATGTTACCTGTACTTGTGTGCCCGTCCTACACCAACAGCACCAACCATGGTGCTTGGATTACCGAGAAAGGGAGTGCGTGGGTGAAGGCATGAAGGCACGAATGAGGCACGAGTGCAGCGTTGAGTAAGAGAAGAAGAGAGCGAGACAGAGAACATGACCCTGGGCTGAAGCCTTCAGCAACTGTGGATACTCATTCAGTTAAGAAAGCCCACTTACCCTGCCTGTTCTCAGGGCTGATGCTGCCCAAGCCGCCATCTTCAGCTAGGCCTTGCTCCAGATTGGCCAGGATCTGCAACCATTCCAAATAAGAACAATAAAATCATAAAAAATAAATTTGCGTCTAGACTTTGTCATAATATATTCTTGGTAGAGCGAATTCCTCTGGATGAAAACCAATTTGTCAAGGACTGTTCACACGAACACATCTTAAACATTGCTGATCACGATCCCACGGAGATGATAGTGGGTGGACGGAGTGCTGGAATTTGGCTTATGATGCCACAAAGCATTTATGGATGTCATATACAAGGAATACGTGATTTCTCCTTTTAAGAAAAGCATCAAGTGTGTTACACGTGAGAGTGATTATTAACTTCTGTGAGAATATCAGTCTCATTCCTCCAGGCACCAAGAGGTTCTGTGGCCTTTTCTCACGTACCAAATAAATTTTGTCCACTGTCACTTTACATTGCTTTTATTGTTTGGTTAATAACTTTTGGTTGTTTCTTTTGCGTTTTGGTTTTCCCTGCTGTCGCCTCTATAATTTGGGTAGAGTATTTTTTTTTTTTTGAGGGGCTGGATGAGAAGAAAAGTCTTAAGAGAAAAGATTATTTGCTAGGGAGAAAAACAGAGAAACGTTAATTGAAAAAGGTTGTGTTACAGTTCTGTGATGACTGATTCTGGCCATGTACTTCTGGGGAGAAATCCTTTCGCTTGTGAGGTCATCTTACCACTCACATTTCCCCGGTGACCCGCCCCCAGGCGAGGCAGGCAGCACGATGACCGAGAAGCCACTGGGTTTCCATTGCGTGCTCCCCCAGCCCCCGTCTACATAGTGAGGACAGCTGTGGGCCCTGCACAAGCTGGAGAACAATTTGCTGTGAACACGAAGGGCTTTTTCCTCTTAATAGTTATCTTGTGCTAACTTGATGGCTCAGAGGACACACCTGGAGTTCAAAACTGTAGCCCTGAAAACGACCTAGCTGGTTTAAACAAGGTCAAGTGACGTTTTTCAGCTAATCTGTTTTCTGATAAATAGTCATAAAAACACAAAGTGACAGAAAAGAAACTCTTGGTGTTACCATTAAATTAAAACCACGCAGGCCAGAATGGAGGAGCACAGGAAGCAAGAGGACAAGGGATCTCCACAGGGAAAGGGTGGCGAGTACGGACCGCAGGCAGCAGACCACGCGGGAATGACTCTGGGAGGGGACAAGGCTCTGACAAAGGGAAGGCCTCTGACCAGAGCAGAAGCAGGCACAGGCAGCTTCCACTCGGACTCAAGATAATGTGAACTGCGTAAGCGGAGGGGCAACAGCTGGAGGGCAAGGGCTGTGTCGCTCCTTGTGCCTCCCCACGGAAGACAACGCTTCACGCTTCTGAACAGGGAGAACACCGCAGAAAGCAGCTAGAGCTTCCCACCGTGCCCCCACAGCCCTGGGGAGAAGACCCTCAGCCAGGGGCCGTGGGTATCTCAGCCCACGCTGATGGGGAGGAGAAGGAGGAGTGTGCTTCCAGGACAGCAGCAGGAGGGAAATATCTGGAGGAGAAGGAAGAGTCCCACCCCAGTGACACCAAGTGCAGACAGAAACAGCTCATCTTCGGCAGAGGCGTCAAAGGCAGAGTCAGCAGGACGGGAGGCCTGTCTGTTCAGCAGCTTTGTGTTAGGTCCGAATCTGCGGCGCCAGCTTTTCTGGGGCATCATTTCCGCCTCCTGGTATGCATCTGCATAGCTGGGGAAGACATGCAGATGACAGCCCCCTTCTATGAGGAGCCCTCTTTTGGCTGCCCAGGTCCCTGAAGGCTTTAGCACTGGGGGGAGGGACAGGAGAAAAGACCCGTCACAGACCCGAGCACAAGCATGTTAAACAGTGTCTGGATCCCCAGTGACTACTTTTCATTTCTAGGGTGCATTATTTAATGAGGTCAGTTGACAGGCCTGAGTCAGAAGTCATCCCGAGTGAGCTGGACAGAAGTAATAGCTTGCAGTTGGCTGCTGTCACTGCCGTCAACCTACAAGGCAGTTGTCTGGGCTTACAGAGTATGTTGATTTACAAAGGTTATTTCTGTAAAGGAAAGTATCAGACACCCCCCCCAACCCAAAGCCTAAATCATTTAGGAAAAGCAGATATTGCAAGAAAAGCCTGAAATTATTGAGTTTGCAAATGTGGTGTGGTTGCAGTTTCCTCACTGGTCCCTTCTGCGCTGGACGAAAGGACCATAGTGCAAGTCTCAGTCAGACACCCATCAGCAGTCCTGTTTGTTTCCCAGGAGAATAAAGGCAGGAAGCACCAGACTGGTACCAGACTCGGCTCTTTCTGGAAGATTCTCTGAAGAGCAGGGGCCCATTTCTAAGCACAGGTGCAGAACGACACTGCACAGAACCCAGGTGCCAAAGAGGGTGGCCACTGTTTCCACTTCATTTGACATGAAGCTCCAAAGACAAGGTGTTCCTTTCAGCTCCACCAAATCTAAATAAAAAGGACATTATGATCCGAGTGAATGTGACTTAAAATGACCAAGCCTGTCTGGGTTGGTGGGAGCCACCTCACAGCTGTGAAGCCTTGTCCGTGTCCTGCACCGGCATGTAAGCTCCACTGGTACATGGTGCTACTCTGCAGCTGATGGACGCACCTGTAGGAGGTGGTGCTGAGCATGGCTGTCCCAATTGGGGTAAAACACAAGGTGCTAGCAGTGGGGCTGGGAGTAGATGGTGGCTCCTGCAGGGCCAGGGTCACCTCCCCCTTCTCAGTGTGATGTGACAAAGGCGAGGCGCCACAAAGGTGTGCCTCACAGGTGGTAATGTAGGACTTCTGTATTTATTTTGCCACTTAAAAAAATGGAAAAGATAAGAAATCTGTGTTTTTAAGACAAAATCCTGTGAAAAGATTAATGGTTTTTACGCTGCAGAGAAGGCCTCAGTTGAGATTTTACTGGCATGTAGAGGGAAGCTGCTGAAGTCAGACAGGTGAAGGTTTATAGGAAGACTCTCCCACAGCCTGTGTACACAGAGTGGGGCAGAGCGTGCCCTGGGAAGATCGCTGCAGACCAGCATCCCAGGTGTTGCCTGTGCTCACACACACTCATCAGCAGCTTTTGGGGACTGGTCTAAGAGATCTACAAATGCCAACTCCTTCAATCTTACCACAATCCCAGGAGTGGGTCCTGTTCCTGCAACATTACACAGGTGGGGAGACAGAGGCGTGGGGAACCAGAATTCACACCAGGCCCATCTGGGCACCCAGTCACCATCATACCTGCGACCTCTCTGCTGATGGTACCTGAGAAAGAGAGGACAGAGCTTGGCAGCCTGTGTCCAGCACTTGGGCCTGCACTGGAAGGGGCAAGAAGGTGGCAAGGGAAGGAAAGATGCAGAAACCGTTCTGCGTTTCTGGCTGAGAACCTGCAGGCTCCCCTCTCTGTTGGGGTGGAAGGAGAGGAGACGGCAGTGAGGGCGAGGCCAGGTCTCAGCAGGCCTTGGGTGCAAGTGAAGGAGGCTGACCTCTGCTCTCAGTGTCCCAACGGCTCACCTTAGGGGACATGGTGCAAGAAGTGGAGTCTGGAAGAGTGACCTGTCAATCATGAGTAGGAAGCAGATGCAGGAAAAACATCAGGAGGCAGAGAATCTTTGAAATCCTTGCAAAAGGTGATGAGGGCCCAGGCTAGGTTGGAGGAGGCAGAAGGTGGAGATTAAATCAGGGCACAGAGCACTTCATAAAGATGCACAGAGTGGTGAGTCACTGCATGGGGCAGGCTGCATGGGACTGAGCCACTGTGTGGGACAGAAAGACTGCAAGGGAATGAGAGTTGCGTGGGACTGAGAGTTACATGGGACAGACCCGCTGCATGCTACAAGGTGCTACATGGAACAGAGCCACTACATGAGACAGAGAGGCTGCATGGGACAGAGAGGCTGCATGAGACAGACAGGCTGCATGGGACCAAGTGCTGGGTGGTTTCTATAGATAAAACCTTGGTGGTAGAAAGGATGACACCATGAGCAAGAACAGGGAAATGCAGAGTAGAGGACTGGGATCTGAGGCCTTTCGTCTTTCAAGGAAGGCAGAAGTTGTCACGGTGTGAGGGAATCAGGAGTGGTAAACCATGATTGGATCCATGTGGAGTGACTGGGCATCTCTGCATTGTGAGATGCCTTCCTGCACCCATGGGTAGTGCACTCTGGCTGGCCCCAGCTGCGTCCTGGCTCTGAGAAGCTGTGTGGTAACAGCCTCAGCATAGAGGGCTCAGCAGGTGCTGCACATGCCAGGAACTACATGTTTAAGCACAGATAGCACTAAAGCTGCGGAGGGCGCACTACTGTGCCCATTTTGCAGAAGTCGCTCATGCTCCCTGTGCCTTGCATAGTGGTGCAGGAAAAAGAGAAGACGTGTTTGGCTCAGAAGACTTGGGCTTGGGTTCTGGCTGACTTTAAGCCTATCTTCTCTGAATTCCTATTTCCTCAGCTGTAAATCGTAACACATTTTCACATGCCCATATTGCAAATTATGGAGCTCCAATGAAGATGTTCTTGAAGTATTTCGTAAATTTTTTTTTTTTTTTTTTTTAAAGATGACTGGTAAGGGGATCTTAACCTTTGACTTGGTGTTGTCAGCACCACGCTCACCCAGTGAGCAAACCAGCCATCCCTACATGGGATCCGAACCCGTGGCCCTGGTGCTATCAGCACCGCACTCTCCCGAGTGAGCCACGGGCCGGCCCATATTTTGTAAATTTTAAAAGTGCTGAATAAAGATTAATTGCAGGTAAGAGGAGAAGCAGTAAGAAATGCAAAACATTCCACGGCCTTAGATTTTCACTGTGGTCCTCTTCCACCCTCGTCCTTGTCGTAAGCTGTAAAAGCTTTACATGTGTGTAATTTGGGAGTCATGAAATTAATGCTGCATTGACTGTTAAATATTAAGTGGATCTTTGAAACTTCTGGGAGTTTCCACAGCACTGATGAGTGGGGTTGCCCTGGAGGAAGGTGCAGTGAGCCACATGCCGAGCCTTCCACAGTGAGTGGCACTCCCTGTCCCTCCTTGTCCCTCTCTCTCTTCCCCTCCATCTCCCTCTCTCCTCTCTCTTTCCTTACCTCTCCCTCCCTCTCTCCTGTCTCTCTCCCCCTCCCTCTTTTTCTTCCTCTCTCTCTCCCACTTTGCAGGGAGCTGGCTGCCATGTTGTCAAGACACTCAAGCAGCCCTACAGAAAGGCCATGAGGCAAGGAAATGGGGCCTCCTACCCACCAGCAGCAGAACCTGACAGCTGTGAGGAGCCACTTGGAAGCCAATCCTGCAGCCCCACCAACATCTTGACTGCAGCCTCAGCAGAGACCCTGAGCCAGAACCCCCTGAAGCTGCTCCAGACTGGAGACCCACAGAAATGGAAATCATAAATTACTCTTGTTTAAAGCCACAGAGTTCTGGAGCAAGTTGTTATGCGGTAATTGATAACTAATACAAAAATGAATCAAAGCTACCCAGCGCTTTTTACTGAAGGCTTCCGGTGAGGAACAGTGTATTGATGCCAGTGTACTGAAACACTGTGGAGGCTTAGTTTTAATTTGGGAATTCTGAAATGGGTTCCTTGTTGGGTATCTTAGAGTGAGCTCATCTCTGAAAGCAGCTGCAATCATGAGAAGATGCTGCTTGGAAATGAGTGGGGAGAGAAGTCAGGAGAAAATAATGGAAGTTACAGCAGGGGCTGTACACATTGGCTGCTCTATGCAACAAGGTGGGTCTGTCTGGAGTTAGGGGCTACAGCTCGGCCCCATCACAGGAGGTAATGCTGTGGGCATCCTGGACTGGTTCTGGGATAGGCAGGCTCCACTCCAACAATGCAGACAACTATCAACACTCGTCCACAGTAGGGGAGGGAAGATAAATTATTCAAAATAAAAAACCTGGTTGTGTTTTGTCCAAGGAGATAATCATATGCCTTGAATGAATATCCCAGCTGTCTGACTCCATATATAACTAATACCTCTTGATCTCAAATTACTTAAAAAGGCAATTTGTAACCTATTCATATTTAAAGAGGCCCAGCTCCATGTTCCAAATTCTGTGCAGTTCTCTGGGGAGGTGGTGCAGTAGGTGTTCTAAGTGGTAACTGGCACCTTTGGTCTGGAGACTGCAGTCTGCAGGAAGCTTAGAGGAAGCAGCCTTCACACCTGTCCCTTTGGCAAGTGTCATGAGTTGTGGGGTGGGAATGGGACAGGTTTAGGGAACTGGTTTTACTTATGAGGCCCCCAGTATCAAACTGCTGGCACTAACTCAAGGACCCATGGTCTCACTAACTGAACCCTCTGTAGTCCTCACTGAAGGCTATAGCAGTCTGCCCTGCAGCACCGCAGATTTCTTTGGGAAGTCCTAAGGACTTTCTTATCCCCACCACAGCCTCCTAGGAGACCGTTCAGAAAAAGAGGCTTTCCAAGTGAAAAGAGGTTTCTTGGAATGGCTACAAGGCACTTAAAGAATTATTAAATACTTAACCATGTGCCAGGCATCATGCTGAGTCACTTGTGTGTACTATGGATCTAACCCTCTTGGTGGCCCAGGAGGTAGTCAGTAATATTGCTCATTTACAGACAAGGAGGTTGAGGCTGGTGCAGGCTGAGCAGTGGGTACCGCAGACAGTGTGAGTCAGAGAGGATCTGGAAATTTCCACCCGATCTGCCTGACTCCAAAGCCCCTCTCAACCACTGCCTTTGGGACAGTGTTCTTTGGGGACTTCACACCTCGAAAAAATGCTTTCTTCTTTCCATTCAGATCATGGACTGAGAGAATATACAGTGCTGAGAGACATAAGGCCAAGAATGCAGAATTTAAGAAATTTTTATTGCATCAAGAGCCTCATTTTCTGTGGGATGTTAGGCATGCTTCAGAGCTGGACTGTTTGCCAACTCACTTTTAGGGCGCGGATTGCATACTGGGTTGAAGCTGCTGATGGGCACTGTTGGGCATTCTCAAGTCCAAGTCCTGTGACTGCAATGATGCAATCTAGAGGTTTCTAAAGGTGTGAATCTCCATTGTGAGCTGAATCAGGATACATGGGTCTCTCCTGTGTGTACATTCTGAGCACCCACGGGGGTCTAGGGGTGCGAGCTTCAACTGCAAAGCCAGACATGTGGCCCCCATCGAGGAAGCAGAACCCGTCCATGCTTGTCTTTCCAGGTCTTCTCTCCACTTGCCGATCAGCCCTGTCCTGTCTGACTAAACCACAACTAGTGAGTTCTCTGCAGGGGCAGCAGAAAAGTAGGGCAACCAGACTATGTGGGTCACGCAAGTGTAGGCTGCACCTGATGTCGTCAGTAGGCTGATGGCCACCACCTGAGCAGCTGGCCAGTGCACTTCTAACTTGGTTTACAAATAAAACAGCAAAACTGAAGATGTCTATTGGTCAGAAATCCTTCTCAGAAAAGATATTAACCCTTCCCAGAAACAAAGCTCTCACTATTGCCTTATTAGCAATATCAATAGAGAAGCAAACTATATTGACATTATTGAATCTATTTCTTTTCCAGAGTGTGAGAAAATGTATCTTATCCTCTGCCTCCCCGAGCTGTGATTGAGTTTCTACAGAAGCACTTCTTTTACCATGGGACTCTCGGCCACACTCACCAGGGCAAGGTGGGGGCTGCAGACCTGCAGGGAGGGGTACAGTTGAACTCCAGACTAGGCTGGGCATGTCCATAGTGGCCATGAACTAAACCTCAAGCTAACTGGGCATCATTATTTATGAATAATGTCTATTTCTGCAAATGGATTTTAGATATGTGTTGGCTTGGCTCTGTCCCAACTGGTCTCCACAGTTCTGCTGGGACCTGGAGGTGGAGACAGCCTGCAGGCAAGCGAGAGGAGAAGAAATAGAGGATGGAGGCAGCTGCTCTCCTGACAGTGACCGTCATTAAATTTTCAAGCCACGGCAGCATGGAAGATCTATTTTAAATCATGGTGTATTTTATTCTTTATTAATGTAATCACATTTGAACCAAACATTTACTAGTTCACTAAATGGCTCAACTACAACAGATAAAACCCATACTCTGGGCTCCTTTGTAAAGATGGTAAGTGATGTCCTGCTGAGGTTGGGCCCTGTACACAAATGCACATCATTGCTGTAATCTAAGACTCCAATCAATGTTTAGTGCATCTTCCACATGAGAAAAAGCTCAGCTTCTTCTGAGCAATTGGCTGATTTATGGAAGCCATGAATTCTACGCCTGATTATGTTCCCTCTCTGCTTTGGTGAGCAGGAGCCTTGCACCAAATGAGCTTTTGGCATAATACCTTTTACTTTACCAACTGTACTACTGGCTTAATTTTATGTTCTCTTTGCCCCATGGTCCTCATTTAATCTTTCTCAGCAGAAAAAAGCCCATTATAAACTAATTCATGCACTGTATAAGACTTGGAAAATAAAGAAAATTAAGGTGACCTTCAATCGCATCACTCATAACACTGACATACTGGTGTATTTATTTTTCCTTCAATGTACACCATTCACGTCACGGAGATCACATTGTAATTGTAACTATGGGCTGCCA